ATCACAGTACAGTAATTAAAAACATTATTTAACATTATTACTCTTAACTCTTAATTTTATTTCTTTTTTTAAAACTAGAAATGAAAAACCAGTCACTTCTGAAAGGAATGCATTCATGTCTTGAAAGGGATAAGCATATTTTTCTCCCTCTAGACTTCTGCAGCCGCTTCCAGTTTAAAATAATTTGTTTTATACAGCCTCTCTGATTTTTAAAAAGTCTCTCTTCATAGGGCACAGTATTCACTGCACACTGTGAACAGTTATAGAGGGAGGGGTGGGAGGAGCAATGTTCTGCCCTGCAGCTATGACTTTGTAATCAATACAATTCTTGACAGGAATATAAATCTAACTTACACAGTGAACAGCTAAAGTTTGAAATTTTCATGGAAATCCTTACTTTAGTAATCACAGATTTATAGGCTTGCTGCTGAGATTGCACAATGTCCTGCCCAACAACTGGGAAACAATTTATATTCTTAGCTACAGTTTACCAGTATTTGAGCATGTATTGTATATAGTTCATGGTCCAAACAGCAGTAGTGCAGAACATAACAAATATAACATTAACTAATATTGAAAATGACTGTTAGTGCCTTCATAATTTTGAACATCATTTTGTATGTGATGTGCCTTTAGAAAAACACACACACACAAACACACACACACACACACACACACACATTAATATTCTCATTTGAATTATCAACACATTACATACTTAGTTTAATCTATTGATTACCCTGCTTTAAACAAATTAAAGTTGCAATCATATGTGCACTTGCTTGTGTGCACAGCATTCTTGACTGTGATAGAACAGATGGATATTGGGGCAGTATGGAGGGAAGAGAGAGGAAGAGAGGAACAGCACAAAGAAAGGATCAAGCTCTGTAACAAACACTAAACCTTACCACCGTATTTCCTAAGTAGTGTTAATTAAAATTCTAATTTAAAAAAAATGTTTTTTTAATAGCAGCCGGAGACTACAACTAAGTCAATTTTTCTGAACAGAGAACAATAATGCAGTTCTCCTGATTCATTTTATACAAGTGTGTCTTGCACAGATGAAAAGTTTGCTTCTAACAGCTGTATGGGACAAATTAAGTAGGCTGAGCTCTTCCAACTTGGACACGATGGCTGTAGCTGCAGAACAGGACGGTTGGGACTTTAGCACTCAAGTTCAGAAGGGCTAAGCCCATTACAAGGTGAGCCAAACTCCCCTCTCTATTGGGCTTGACATGCAACCAGCTGTCATCTGCCAAGCAGCTTCTTACTGATATGTCCACATTAGATATTTGGCACTTCCCTTGTAACATTCCTGGCACAAAAGCCTACAGGAGATGTGTTTTGCATCAATCCTGATGACGTTACTAAAATGTTAGGATTCACAAAACTACTTTGTCTCTTGATGCTGCTGTACATCTAAGGAACACCTTGACCCAAGAGTAATTTAGTACTGGAAGTGTTCTATTATCCAGCTGCATTCATGTGTAACCCCAAAATTTTTGATCCCCTCCAAAATGATGCCAAAGTTTGGTGCTCATTTTGTGCTGTGAACCCTGCATTTTGTACCACCACCCCAAACTGAGTAATTAACACAGCAAGCCAGGGTTACAACTACCCTCATGTAGACTGGCTACATATGCATTCCGGTCATGACAAAGAGGTAACAATTCTAGATACCCCCAAAACATTTAATATTCTAATGAAGCCATTGCATTATGAGACATCACCACCACCAGACAATGAGCAGCAGGGGAGTTCAGCTGGGTTGCTCTGTGCACATTTCCCCACACACATCATGTCCTAGCTGTTGCAAGCAGTCTTAAGCATGTATAGGCTGCAAAACAATATTGATGAAGAAAAGGGGCTGAGAAAACCATAGGGTTCCCAATTACAAATCCCAATTGTAGCAATAGTTAGCTTCTCATAAATTGCTAATAAATAGCAGATAGAACTTTTTTCTATTGATAAGGAACACCGGAATTATGATAAGGAACACCGGAATTATGATAAGGAACACAGGAAGTCTTTGAAGAAGTCCCAATGTAATATGGAAGTTTCAAAGATCATTAGTTACATCTCTCTTGCTTAATGAAGTAACAAAATTATGAGATGCAGCGCAAAGTGTTGTGCATTATTGGATTTATTTGAGCTTTTACAGTATGGCATTAAGAATTAAAGCACTTCAGATATAAGCACCTGGTAACAATGATTTCATTTACTGATTTCATTTACTGGCAAAAGACCAGCAAACTCATTTCAGTATCTTATTATGGGGGGGAGGGGTCCTGAAGAATTACCAACCTGTTCCCAAAATAAAATATCTGAATGTTTTATAGAGAATAATTTATACAATGGAACAATTGATTTGGATTCCACATACAAATAAAATGCAGTCTACAGCCAACTTTTCCTAGTGGATTATTTTACATATATCTAATACTTGAAATAGCTCATTACTATTTGCAATGTTCTTTTTAAAAAGGGAACATTATTTCTCTAAAAGAAAAACAGTTATCGGAAGGGCTGGAAAAATAATGAAATTTGTTTATGGATCAACATCCCACCCAAAAATTGATGACAAGTGGAGTTTAAATATACATTTAAATGGCTAAGAACTTGATTACTTGTACTCACAGTTGACACTGATCTCCTTTGATCCCTTTAGTTGTGCAGAAACATTTTCCTGTTTGCATGTGACAAATATTTGCATGTCCACTGCATGTGCAAGCTATAAAAAACAAAGAGGAAACTGCTAAAGTCTCTCATTCCAGTGTAGCTTTGTATACAGATTAACATACTTTGATAATTATTTATTAGCTAGAGGTAATGGTAAGACTAATTTTCTGACTGGTAATACAGTTGATAAAATTAGAATAAATTCAGTAGCGGAAACTTAGCAAGGAATTCAGAGGGATTTGGAACTGCTGTATTTGTCATCTTGCACTGTGCTTTGTGTCATGCTGTTTTAATATTTTCTTGTTGTCGGTGCTTATTGACCAATGGAATGAACTGTACACAGAATTATAGGCACTTAAAAAAACAAAAATTGATATCGGCTATTGTGGATTGTATCTGAGCCCCAGATATGGAAATATCCCCACAGTGTGGCACTCTGAGTAACCCTCTAGCATTCTCCCCAAACATATAACATTATAAATCTTGTTAACAATCACCAAATTGAAAGAGGGAGCCAATGAAAACAGGTGTACTGTAGGCAGATAGTACTCATACATTTCCCTCTTAAGATGCTCCAGAATACAGCTCCATTCTTTCTTTTTGTATGTGTACATAGCGGAGAGAGAATCTGTGCGATTTGGTAATTTCATAAAAAGTAAGCCACCAAATACTATCCTAGAACACATGTGGAATTTGAAGAAAACAATACATATCAAAGGTTCCCAAACAAATAATTTCTTTTCAACACTTGCATCATTCCAAATATATATCACTAGAAACAAAGCCAAATCACGAAGAACCAATGGAGTCAAAGCACTAACCAAAGGATTGGTGTGGCACATATGTCAATGAGGAGGAAGGAAATGTCCTCAATTGATGTTGAGGACTAGTTTTTATCACTGTGAGCAATTATGGTTTCAGAACTTATCTAAATTTTGACTTCAATTAACTGTGTAACACCAATTATGAGGTACTTTCCACCGTGCAAATTTATTAAGGAACTTAGGGCAATGATATTTGTGACCTATGTCAATGTTGAATATGTTGCTAAATCACTGGCAGAGCCTGCTTGTATGGAAGTGTGCAAGATTTGACAAGAACAGGTAATGACAGAGAATATATCAGATGAAAAGAACCATCTCCTTGTAATGCAATATTAGTATTATTACTAGATACTAGTGCATTATGCATGATCTGAAAATCCATCAGCAGCATGAGCTTCTCTCTAATAAGGTATGCTTCCTCATATCTGTATATTGAGTTCAAATATCAATCATAAACTAAAAAGAGATTTTTGATGAATGATGATGAGGCCATCTTTCAAAGCATGCACCGAATTTCTATATTAGAGCAGAAACACATACTAAGCAAGACTGACCAAATAGAATTTTTTTTTTCATTAGCCATGCATACCCTTTCAGAGTAGTATATCATATTACTCCTCGTACATTTATGACTGCTGAGGCAGACCCTGCACCTTTCCCCCTGATTTGAGGTCAATACTGGGAAACCAAGCCTAAGAACTACGCACGCTTGTAGTAGCATGTGTAGTTCTTAGGCTTGGCTTAAAATATTGTCCCACCTTCAACTTAATTCGTTCTGGAGGTCCGTTCTTAACCCGAAACTGTTCTTAACCTGAAGTCCCACTTTAGCTAATGGGGCCTCCTGCTGCTGCCGCGCCGCCAGAGCACAATTTCTGTTCTCATCCTGAGGTAAAGTTCTTAACCCGAGGTACTATTTCTGGGTTAGCGGAGTCTGTAACCTGAAGCGTATGTAACCCAAGGTACCACTATACAGCCAACCCCCTTTTTAAAAAAACTGGCACCTTGAAATAAATAAAATAAATAAAAACATTTTGAAGGTCCCAGGCCACAGAGAAGTTAGGCTGGCCTCAACTAGAGCCAGGGCTTTTTCGGCTGTGGCTCCGATCTGGTGGAACGCTCTGTCACAAGAGACTAGGGCCCTGCGGGACTTGACATCTTTCCACAGAGCCTGCAAGACAGAGTTGTTCCACCAGGCCTTTGGCCAGGGCGTAGCCTGACTCCCTCCTTCAGCAATCTTTGTGGAGCTCTGGCCCAATGGTTGCCATTGGTTTGATTTGAATTAATTTTATAATGAATGATTTTAGAGTGTTGTGTTGTGTTGTACTGTTTTATTGTTGTTAGCCGCCCTGAGCCCGGCTTCGGCTGGGGAGGGCGGGATCTAAATAAAATTTATTATTATTATTATTATTATTATTTCACAACTAGAATTGTAAAAAGTGGTCTGTCAGGAGTTGAGTCTTTAAAGAATCAGTAAACGATATATACAATATATATTGAGGCTGGATAGCTCAGTCGGTAGAGCATGAGACTCTTAATCTCAGGGCCATAGGTTCGAGCCCCATGTTGGGTGAAAGGTTCCTGCATTGCAAGGGGTGGACTAGATTACCCTTGTGGTCCCCTCCAACTCTACCATTCTATGATTCTATTTTTCTATGGATTCAGTAAAAGTCACAGGCTTTTCAGTAAGATGGTAAAATGGTAAGTGTACAGCTTAGATTTACTTCAGCCATTTAAGAAGAGGAAGAAGAGTTTGGATTTGATATCCCGCTTTATCACTACCCGAAGGAGTCTCAAAGCAGCTAACAATCTCCTTTCCCTTCCTCCCCCACAACAAACACTCTGTGAGGTGAGTGGGGCTGAGAGACTTCAGAGAAGTGTGACTGGCCCAAGGTCACCCAGCAGCTGCACGTGGAGGAGCGGAGACGCGAACCCGGTTCACCAGATTACGAGACTACCGCTCCTAACCACTACACCACACTGGCTTATCAGAGGTGTCACAATTTAGGTTTCAACAACTTGCGGGTTCTGAAACAGGCCAGTACTTTCTGCCAGGCCACACTAGTACTAAACTGCCTACTGTTCTTGAGATTCCCAACCTTGAGGCTCCTCTATTAGACTTACTTAGTAAACCAGACCAGGGGACAAGCGCACACTCCCTTTCTAACTGGTTTGGGATTATTCTCTCACTAGAAGATATTTTCCCTTCCTTCTGAATTGAGATTTAAGTAGAGTGTTCCCTCACAACTCCACTTCTCCTCTCCCAAAATTCAGCTTCCCAGTTATTGCATGTCTGTATACTCTTTAAAGACAATAACCCTGTCCTTTAAGCTAACCCTCCGCTCAGAGACGGCCTTCTCTGGCTAAAATTTTTCCCTCAGGGCAGATTTTACACAGCTCAGAGGTTATGCTGTTATTGAGCTGAATTCCAGGAACTGATTTTTTCCTTTCCCTCTCAAAGCGCTGTCTCCACCCACTTCTGGCTACCTGTACCTACAGCCAATCAGAGTGAAGCTCTAACTCAGCATACTGAGAGCTATATCTCTCTAGTTGTCAGGCAGCAGAGGAACCATCCCCCATGGCTGGCAAGTTGCCAGGAATGGATAAGACAAGGAAAAGTCCTTACCATCTGCTTTTTATTCAATATTTGCAGAGAGAGGCTTGGGAATGCAGCCTCTTGGAATAATGGTGCTGTCCTGAGTAAATCTCCACCCCCCTTCTCTCCCACTTCCTCATTTGTCAACAGCACCACCCCCTCTACGGTTGCCACTTAGGGCCATCTGCCTTCAAGCTCTTTGCTCTCCTACTTTTAAAGCTCACCTGGTTCTTGGAGATGGTGGGTCTGGAATGCTTTCTAGTGATAACGTGTCAGCCAGCGGCTCCAACTCTGCCTCCTCCTCCTCCTCTCCCATTATTTCCCAACTATTCCCCTCATCTTCCTCTGAGCTGTGACCTCCTTCAAACCCCTGTTGTAATTCCAAACTACTTCTCTGGAATTGTCAGGCTGGGGAGGCGGTCACCACCATTCCTCCTCTTCCCAGTCCCTGACACTGGTGAAATTTTGCCTATATTGCACCATCAAACTCTGCTTCCGTCACAACTGTGCACACAATATTTGCTACTTAAATGTACTAGCCATGGGCATACAAAATTCTTACAAGGTCCAGGAAGTTAACTTATTAAAAAACCAAAAACCAAATAACTTTTGTCTCTTTATTCAGGGTACCTTTTAAGCTATAAGAAAACCTTTAATCAGATAACTTAGAAATAAAATGATGCCTGCTGGATCAGACCAAAGGTCTATCTAGACAAGTATCCTGTTTCTTGCAGTAGCCAACCAAATGCCTTCTAGTAGCCCACATACAAGACATGATGGCAATAGCCCTCTAGTCCTGTCATTCCATTGTGACTGGTATTTACAGGTATAGTGCCTCAGAATCAGCTCTATCAGGACACAAAATTAGGAATGGCAGCAGGAGGCAGAAAATTTGCACCCCTGGACTCTATCTCTCTTCCCTCCACTCAGCTCTCCAGAACCAACCCCTACCCTCCTCTCCTGATGGTCGTTAATTTATCTAATGATTTGTACTTCCAGCTAAATGAATCTAAAAAGGCCAATGAACAAAATGTTTCTTCAGCTGCAGCACACAAGCTGGCACTAAGGAGGGAGAGGCAGATGGTGAGGGAGGAGGAAAAGGGACATTTGCAGGGCTTGTGAAAACTGAGGAAATAATGACTGAAGTGAAAGAAGAGATACAGGCTTAATTCCAACGATCACAAATGAGTTGTAGCAAGCCTGAGGCTTGCAGGGTCCCTCCTCCTCCTCCAAGAGATAAGAAGCAGTTGGTTTTCAATTTGTGACAAAACCATAATTTGCCGTTTTGTCCCATAATTTGCAACTGAAACAGCACCTAGCTGTGATCCTGGTTGACACAATTTATACCTAGCTGCATTAGGATGAAGCTGCTAACTATGACTTGTCACAACTTAGAAGTTCAGTATTGACTATACTGACTGGCAACAACTCTCTAGGGTTTCAAATGGGGTACCATCCTAGTCCTACCTGGAGATGCCAAGGATTGAATCTGGGATCTTCTGCATACAAAGCAGATGTTCTACCAATGGGCTATGGTCTTTTTCAAGGAGAGGGGTGAAAGTCCCATTGCGCAAATGGAAATCCTTGCACTGATGGGACACGGTAGTTAAATGCCGCCCTCTACATTGCAAAATAAATATTTGTTACAGCTGCAGCTGGCAGCTATATTGCTTCCAGTTATATAAACAAACAGATTCCAGAATAGTTTAAATTGCTAATAAAATGACACATATTTACAGGGTAAGTCTAACACTAAATAGTGTAAAATCCTCTTCAGACGCCATCAATATAAATATTCCTGTTAATGTAAAAATGCAGGAGCAGCAATGGCATGTTTTTATAGCACTTTTAGTAAGAAACATACACTACACTTCATTATGTTTGCAAGTATGTGTTTCTTTTTTTCCACTTGTCTGCCCTTGACAAATGCAGAAGAAATTACAAGCTTTTAATATAAGCAATGTGTACTGTTTAATTTACCACAACCTAAAGCTTAAATGCTTGATTTTATAGTAAATGATTAAAAGACAGTCAGACAGTTAAAGAACCTCAAATTGTAGAATAGCTATTTGCAATTACACTGAACTAGTAAACATACTGAATGATTTTCATTGTAAGGGTAGTGATTATTGTCTTCTATTCCTGCACTGAAAGCTGGGCAAAATGGACTACCTACTTACATACAATTAAGTTTTGGGGGCACTATCATGGATTATAGCCGTCAGTCAGGCACCACAAAGCTTCAGTACTCATCTTCTAACCTGGACTTTGCCGAGTCACATAACATTTGGCCAAGAATTTGGGAAGAAAGACCACCCAGCTTTAAGACTACGATAACCAATAACTGATGTGACCGATATGGCAGGTGGATCTTAGGTCTGCCATTACCAATTTCATAAAGCATACCAAGATGACCGTTTCAAAATTATAATATTCCATGTAAGGCTCAAAACAGAGTGTCGTGTTAGATGAAAGGTTTCCATCAAAATTGCTCTTGAAAGTAAATCAGAGGATTGGAAGAAGATGTTGTACTTGAAAACCTTTATGAAATCTATGAAACACTGAAATAATTTATATATATGTTCAATCAACTATGTGTTATTAAGATGACAGTTATATCTGAACTGGCTCTGCATCACATTTGACTACTCTATTCCTCCTTCTGAACATGCATCTGCTTAATATGTTATTACTAGCCCACTGTAAAAGTAACATTTGTGTATACACACAAATTTTCATCACAACAATAAAAAAATTCAGACAAATATTGGTCACTGCACAAAATAATCCTTTAAAAGCAGCAACTTAGGTACCAGCACATTCATTCATTCATTCATTCATTCATGAAAACAGTACAGAAACGTCTTTGAGGCAGCAAGAAATTTTAATGCTATTTAGGGCAAATAAATATGTGCATACTGTTGTATGCAATATGGAGATTGTAAGAAGAAAATAAAGGTTCTTTGAAGACAATATAATTTACTAAAGAAAATCCATGCAGTAAAATTACCACCCATATAAAACTTATTTAATAATAAGCCTGTGGTGTGATTGTTTCTTGCTTGCTGGCTCAGCATAAAAAAATGTAGTTACTTATGCTGACAACAGAATAACCACAAACATTTTCATGAAGTACACATTTTAAGCAATTTAATTTAAAATGCAGTGGTTGCTTTCGCCATTATTTCAAGTACTGCTGAAAAGGAATTTCCGATTCAAAATGAGTTCACTACACAGGTTATTTGTTTACCTTGGATTATTACACAAAAAAGGGTGTACATGAATAATTTTTAAATGCATAGTTTCAATGTGTCTCTCTCAAGAAACATTAATAAAATGTATGCTATTTATATTAACTCAGCATATTACACTGATTTATTAACATTCAGGGCAATACTGAACCAAACTAATGCAGACTGGAACATTCTAATGTTCATGGGCACTACTGAAACATGATAAAAGGATGTCTGGAAAGATTAAAGGTATAACAAGCTATTGCACATTGTAGATAGTCTTGTAATAAAGTGCAGCCATTTACCTCCAAAGTCAACAAATAGCACTTTATATGTAAAGTATATTGCAATCCTGATAATCACCCACTGTCTGAAACATCTATAGGAATTCTAATGAAAGTGTTAAAAATGCAGAGATCGCTTACATTACTCACAAGATCTTGCACATTACTCTGTTGATGTTCAATTTTGACTGAGGTGAAATTGGAGATGGATTTATAGGGTTTTGCCCAGGCAAACGTTTCTGTAACATTTATGAAAAAAGTTAGAAGCGTTTATGCTAGAATTAGTACAATTTTTGAGGTGTTACACCTCTAATAAAACACTCACGAGGGAGTTCACGAATACTTCCATTTTTTTTACAAATGGAAAATACTGAGTATTATGATGCCTAGGAAGTTTATTGGCCCCCAGGAAGTTTATTGTTATTTGTGCATACTCTCGCAGACAGCCCTAGGGCCATGC